CTGAAGTCCACATCTGAATCACTAGTAAGGGAAGGCTCAGTGAAAAGTTCGAACCAGCTTTGGAGAAGGACATTGTTAAGATGAAGATTGAGAAACAAATAGAGGGAGAAAATTATGGAAAGGAATATTAGAAAATAAAGTTGATTAGGGAAAATAGAGCAAAAATGAGTTTTAAATACTAACATGACCAGTTTCCATTCACACAAGATCTTTCAGTTAGCAGAAGGTTCAATGTTGCATTAATTATCTGGAATAAGTGATAGGTGACTGACTCCAAGGCAACAGCCTCTAGGAGTTCATCACATAAAGGTTTTATTTTGCATCTGCAAAGGTAAACTGGGGAGAGCATCATGAAGGATAGAGCTCCAAGACAAGGCAGAACACTTTCTGTGTGCTGACGTTTTTGTAGAGAAAGGGGCTTAAGAGATTACAGGTGGCTGTGTGTGAATGACAGACCAATCCCTTTGCCAGTGAGCCCCAGGGCAGCTGATGCGCTGGTGCCTTTTCATTCCTTGACCTGTGCAGCTTGGAAGGCGGAGTGAGGAGAGCCAGGCGACAGGCTGGTGCTTGCCTAGGGCTTCAGCCATCTCCATAGGACTGGGTTGGCGCGAGATCGGCACTGAGCACCGCAGAGCCTCAGTCAGAAAGGGGTGAGGTCACAAGTGCTCTCGGCTACTCTGACCTACGTGTGTTTGTGCAGATAGAAGAAGTCAACGAGCAGATGAGGAGAGAGAAGGAGGAAGCCGATGCGCGCATGTGGCAAGCATCCAAGAACGCAGAGAAGTCGGCTGGCGGAAGTGGGAGTGGCGGTAAAAACTGGTCAGAAGACGACCTCCAACTGTTAATCAAAGCTGTCAACCTCTTTCCTGCTGGGACAAACTCAAGGTACTTGCTTTCTTGAAAAATCCTGGTATACAGTGGGGCTTACAGGTAACAGCAATCCAGGTAGCAGCGCCAACAGAGATGGAGATGTGGAGTGTAGAAAGCCCGCCTTTCAGGCAGTCGTCAGTCTGCCACTTCTCATTGTTGTACAGCTCTCCGTGCATGAGGCACGGTGCTCACCGGTTCTCAGGAAAGCCAGGGTATGTGGCACGGACCCTCACTGCTGCCATGGCCGCTTCGTAGCTGGCAGCAGGGCCAGAGGGTGTGTCCTGTCGCTCCCCCTTTGCAGTCTGACTCTTTCTTGCTTTTGACATCAAACCACAGCTTATTTATTCCAAAGTCCAGAATTCATTCCAGCCTTAGAGATGCAGACTCCCTCATTCCATAGCAGCAAACTGAGGCTCTTATTTCAGAGTGATCTCCTTTTCAAGAGTGTGCTAAACCAGCAGTGCAGATTGTTGTTTCTACTGGGCTTTATTTAAAAACAAGAGTACAGATGGAAATCGAAACAGTGTATTAAACTAACTTAGAGCTCTTTCTATAGATTTTAAATAGATAGAATTAACCTCTACAGTAAAAATAAAGTAGATCTTTTTTGGTTTTCCTTATTAAACTTTTACATTGGTTTCTCTAGATGGGAAGTTATTGCTAATTATATGAATATACATTCTTCTTCTGACATCAAAAGAACTGCCAAAGATGTTATTGGCAAGGCTAAAAGCCTCCAAAAACTTGGTAAGTCAGTTTTGAGAAATCAGTTTGTTACCTTGGATACACTTTTTTGAAGTAATAATAAAGATTAGATTGATCTATTAATGTAGTTTTTGTTTCTTTTTTTTTTTCCATTCCTCAGATCCCCATCAAAAAGATGACATTAACAAAAAGGCTTTTGATAAGTTTAAAAAAGAACATGGAGTGGCCCGTCAGGCCGACAGCGCGGCACCATCAGAACGATTTGAAGGTAAAGTGTGTTTCTGTAAGGACAGAGAGCTGATCATGATCCCAGGCCACCTCAAAGTGTGTAAGGCCTGGGACTTGTGTCTGGGAGGACTGGGAAGTGACATTGAGACATCTCAGAGGGAATAGAGCAAAGGCTTCTAACCTGGCCACAGGTTATTTAACTACGCGTTGATTGGGAATAGCAGTTCTTCAGGGGTTCCATTAGAGGAAGAACTATTGTTCAATGTAACTGTTAATTGGTTACAGGAAACTATCAGGACATATATATCATTATATAGTATATTAAATACATGGTTATATATTACTATAATTATATATTTTATATCATAATATATACTGATACACATGAGTCAAGGCATACTTCCTGGCTTTGAAAGATGTACGGGAGAGCTAGTGGGATGGCTCAGTTGGATGTCAAGCCTGACAGTGTTTGTGCCTGAGGACCCACATGGGGAAGGAGAGAACGCCCACAGGTAGTTCTCTGACCTCTGTATGTGTGCTGTGACACAGCGCAAACACGTAAATAAGTACATCTAGTTAACTTTTTTGAAAAATAAACTTTAAATTGTAAGACAATGTCTTTGTTTTTGTGTTTTGTTTTGTTGTTCAGAAAAACATACTGGAGTACAGAGATTATCCTATATTTGTAACTTACAAATGGTTTAGCACAATTAATGTCTGTGTATAGAAAGGGGATAAGCAAATACTATAAAATTTTCATATTTGGGGAATCTAGAGTATACAAGGATTCTTTCCTGAAAGTACTTCAAAATAAAAGGTTTAAAGCTAGTGTCTTTTGGATGTTCTAGTTAATTGGATTACTCTGAACTATTATTTTCCAAACCACACCACTACCCTGCCTGGCGATAATTTTTCTTTGTCAATTTTTGAAAAAGTTTTCTGTGCAAAGTTGTTTCACTTAATGTATTATGAGCCACCAATCTTTAAGCTAATTTTTCCCAGCCTGCTTTCCAGAACATAGTTCCAAATGGCCTTAGGTTAATTTTGTGCTCTTGGTCTGGCTTATTACCCACAGCTTAAAGTGATCTGTGGGGTGCTTTTTGCAATGCTGGAGATCAAATACAGGTAGCCATTGCCCGTGCTAGGCAGACACTGTATCCCTGACTCAGTCCCAACCTGGCACAATTTTTTGGATTGTAATTTGACCAGTGAGTCTCAGGAATTTCAGAACATTGTTTTGCTTTATTTTTGTCTTGTGAAAAACTGGAAAAAAGAAAATGGTGCATGTAACTTCTATCTTTGTTCCAAGGAAATGATTCAGATCTGTGCTGCTAAGTAGAACCTTTGATGAGTGAGAAAACATTGAATTCTAAGCACTTCCGGGGAACTTACCCAAGTGATTTACATTATTGTGCCCCAAACAAAGATTTGAGTTCTGTCTTGTTTGGAGCAGGTTGTCCTTTTCATTTCTTAATTGAGAACCAAGGGTTAGAAGCAGCAGTAGACTGTAGTGGTGTTGGGTGCTTACTGTTTTCACTGTGGGAGCTGTTAGAGTAACCATTCTGACTTTCAACACTCATTTCTCCTGCAGGAGTGTGCTCATACTTAGCATCCTTTCCCCTGGACATGTTAGCTCTTAAGTCAAACCCAAAGGTTTATCTGAGAAACTAGCTTGGTCTCATTAGAGGTGGCCAAGAGGTTAGCAGCTCAGTCACCTGCAGTGTGTCACAGAGCCTCCCACTGGCCAGCCGGCAGCTTGCCTCTGTGTCACCAGAGTGTGGGCAGTTTCCATGGGCAGTTCCTTCCAGTGCATAGCAAAATGCTTTCCAGAGTCTGTTCAGCAAAAGAAGGGTTATGGCTGAGCAGTGGTGGTGCACACCTTTAACACCAGCACGCAGGAGGCAGAGGCAGGCGGATCTCTGTGAGTTCAAGGCCAGCCTGGTCTACAGAGCGAGTTCCAGGACAGCCTCCAAAGCAATACAGAGAAACCCTGTCTTAAAAAAAAAAAAACAAAAAAGGAAAAAAAGAAAAGGGGCTTAGGCTTGTGTGCTTATGATGCAGCTCTTTCTTGGTCCTATAAAGGACAATCAAAAATTCAAAGTGACTTTTTCTCTCTTGTGGGAGCTCCGCAGGCTCACGTGCTCCTCCTTCCTTAGTTTCCAGAGTAGCTGGGATATGTACCTGCCACCATCCCCACTTATAAATGACTTGTGTTTTTGATGTCCAACTTTAAATTTACATCTAACTAAAAAGTAAATCTGGAGAGACCAAAACTGTTAGGCAGACTTCTTGTTAAAATGTGGTTTGGTGTACACACTTAGGCTTGCATTCTTTCTGTCTCAGAAATATATCATGGCCTTTAGAAATGTGTTCAAATTACACAGCCTATATCAAGGCACCGAAGATGCTCCAGAATCATTTTCTACCTCCTGCCCTGTGAATTTTTAAACATCTTTTTTTTCCTTAAACAGGCACCTGTACAGATTTCACCCCTTGGACCACAGAGGAGCAGAAGCTATTAGAACAAGCTTTGAAAACATACCCAGTAAATACTCCTGAGAGGTGGGAAAAGATAGCGGAAGCAGTGCCTGGCAGGACGAAGAAAGACTGCATGAGACGCTACAAGGTGGGCACTGGTAGACTTGGTTGTCATTTCAGTTACATTTAGTGTTCCTGCTTGTCTGCCAATTGAGCGATAACAGTGCTGAGTTTAGTGTCATAATGGTTGGGGGCCCAAAATTATTAGAGAAACAAGACGAGCCTTAGAAACTATCCCTGGCAATTGGTGAACTCAGCAGCTACAGTGCTGTCTGTTGGTCTGGGGAACAAGATCTCATTGTGTAGACTAGGATGGCCTCAGCCTTACTCTCCTGAGCACTGATTATAGGCATGTGTCTCCCCATCAGTCCTGTGTTCAACAATCTTATTTCCTCCTAGGAACTCGTTGAGATGGTAAAAGCAAAGAAAGCTGCTCAGGAGCAAGTGCTGAATGCAAGCAGAGCCAAGAAATGACGCAGGCGATGTTGGTTGTGTGTGCACTTTTATAATAAAACTGAAAATACTGTACAAACTTTCACTTGGGATTATTGTCATCATTTAAATGTGTGCTGTCCCCACCACAAAGTTCAACCATTACACTCAACAATCATCAGGGCTGTAGTTGTAGCCTCTAAAAGTACATATAACAGACTACTGCAAAAGTTCCAAATACATTTTATTTTTCATTTGAAGACTGACAGCTTTTTAAAAACTTCAGGATCTCTAGTTTTATAAATATGTATTGCAGAATATTTGATCACAAAAGTTAGTCACGAATCCAGCGCATGTTACCACAAATCTGGTTAAAATCTGGTAACCGCTCAATAGGACCTATGGATTCAAAAGAAGACAGTGAGGAAACAATTCCAAGTCCATAGCCAACTGTGTGTACAAGAAGAGGAGCCGGCTTACCTAGCGCAGCAATAGCTGGGCTTTTGCCATAAATGTATTTGGTACATACGTCTCGAACCATCTCCGCATTCACAGCCTGAGACAGGGACAATATCATCAGGACTTTTCGTAGTGAAGACAGATTCTGTGTATGTGACTTTTCTAAACTAAATCAGGAGTTAGGGAACCTTAGCCTTTGTAACTGACCTTTTAACCCAAAACCTATGGGTTACTTACATCAATTCTTGCTTCAAGCTCGGGGATGGGAATTCTCCTGTTATAGCACAGCATCTGCCTGCCGATATCTTCACAAATTGGAGTTGAGCCTGTTTAGAGAAGTATCCAGATAGACATCAGCCATGAAGACGAAGTCCAAGCAGAGCCTGCCCACCAAGCCCTTCCCAGCCTGTCTCCCAAGGTTTACCATCAAGCTGCAGCAACATGTTTGTTTTCAGAAGATTTTTCGCTCGTGCTACTTCACTCTCCGTAACATTTGTACAGAGTCGAATCCTAAAATGCATTTGGGAATGGCCATAAGTGCCTGGAAAATGTTATCAAAGCTAAAGAACAAGGTGTATTCCACATATTACAACATATAATTATATTTCAATTCACTAAAACGCTGAAATACTAGCCGGGCGTTGGTGGAGCACGCCTTTAATCCCAGCACTCGGGAGGCAGAGGCAGGCGGATCTCTGTGAGTTTGAGGTCAGGCTGGACCAACAGCCTCCAAAACACAAACCCTGTCTCGAAAAACCAAAAAAAAAAAAAAAAAAAAAGCTGAAATACTAATTATTTTCCCAAGTACCACTAACATCTCAAAAGTTCTATCTAATTGCTAATTAGCAGACACAGTAATAACACTGTAAAACAGAATGACCACATTGTAAGAACAGTCATCTTGACGCCTCACAAACCCCGCTGTGTGAGGTTAGATGTGTGGACTAATGGAGAGGAAAGTACTGGTCAGCCCTGGCTTTCTCAAGACTGAGAATCAGCCTAATATCTCAGATCCCAGTTAAGTACATTTAGAGACTTAAGGCCCTTGGTAATGAAGGAAACAAATATGCAGGAAGCGCTTCAGGTTTTTCTGCCTTGGCCTACTGACTAATGCTTTTGGTCAGTGGTTCTCAATGAGTGGTTCGCATAACAGGAAGTAGCAATGAGAAAACTATGGTGGGGTCGGCACATGAGGAACTGTACTAAAGGGTCACAGCGTTAGGAAGGCTGAGAGCCACTGCTGTTTGGTGACGCTATGTTTGCATTCCCTTTCCTAACTGGCCTTTCCAGGCCAAGTTACTTTGTTTTTCGGGAAGTACTGGTTCAAAGCGGGGTTCTGGGTGCTAAGCACATGGCCTACCACCAGCCATGTCTCTACCCCTCATGCTTTTGGAGGTGTTTCCTGAACTTGTAGTTGCCTTACAAATATTAGAGTACAATCAGCTTCACGTGAGGTTTAAAAGATGTATCTGTTCTTAGAGCACTGCCAGCACCGCTGTAAAGCTAGCGTCGGCACCGCTGGGAGCTGGCGACAGTGCCATCCCGGGAAACACTGAAGCTGTCCTCTCACCATTCTTGCTGAACCACATGCAGCATGTCCGCAACCGTGGCTTCCTCACAGACCATATAGAGTCCCCACAATCCTGTGTCTGTGTAGGAGGTGTTGAAGGACTGGAAGCTGTGGCAGAGACTGCCATGACAAGCGAGTTGGGCCAGCTTGCTAGATAAATTCTGCAAAGGAAAACAATTTGGTTTGTAAACCAGACACATGGATCCAAATCCCCACAAAGAAGTGTGGCTGTTAGTGAGGGCTAACTCTCCTTGGTTAAGAGTTGGGGCTTGTTTTAAGAGACAAGGTCTCGGCCGGGCATTGGTGGCGCACGCCTTTAATCCCAGCACTCGGGAGGCAGAGGCAGGCGGATCTCTGTGAGTTCGAGACCAGCCTGGACTACCAAGCGAGTTCCAGGACAGCCTCCAAAGCCACAGAGAAACCCTGTCTCAAAAAACCAAAAAAAAAAAAAAAAGAGACAAGGTCTCATAACAGCCCTGGCTGGCTGGGAGCACACTATGTAGATCAGGCCACCCAAGCTTAGAGAGCACCTGTGTATTTCCTCCTGAGTGCTGGGATTAAAGACATGCCTCACTGCTCTGCTCACAAGCCCAGTTTTACCCAGCAATGTTTCAACAGTAACCTCACAGTTTCAAGGAAGTGCTGCACTCACTGGCTCAATACAGAACAGAAAAGCAATGACTTTCTTGTCACTGGGTTAGTAGCTGCACCTAGACAACGCAGTGCTGTGCCTGGGCCACGGAAGGCTCCGACTGCATACTGAAGCCATACTGCACTGAAACCTAAGATACTCACAGAAAATGTATTTTGGATCCTTCAGACAAATCTATCCACTGTATTTTGAAATTTAAACTTTAGAAAAGTTGTAAAAACAGCACAAAAAAGTCTGTCTACCCCAGCAACAACTTTTCCACATCTGCTTTCTTTCTCCTCATTCATGGTGCTCCTTGTCAATGGCTGGACCTAGCGTCAGGCATGTGAGGCAAAGCACACCACTGAACTACAAGCCAAATCCTTGTAAGTGAAAGAGGTAAACGAAACTCAAAGGCTTCACTTCTAATAACCACACTGGGGAGAAACTGTAAATGTGGCAAAGCCGTACGCTCCCATTCAACCCGTTATTCATACTAGACACAAAAAAATGTAAAGGTTGTGAAAAGCCTTCAGAACAAACTCAGTCCCCTCGCCTCTAGTTCTTGTGTTGTGAACAAAACTCCAAGACACCTTCCTCTTAGACTCAGTAAGCACAACAAACCACCTCCAAGAGACAGACAAAGCCATAGAAACCACAGGATGCTCCCTCCCAGCACCAAACAAATGACAACAGGCTACCTGCAAGTAACACACAAATACTCCCACTGGTAGCCAGCCAGTCAAAAATGCTAACAAACCAGTTACCCTAATTGTTTCTCAAATGCCAACCATTACCTACTGATGTAATTCTGTGATTTTTTTTTCCTTTAAATTCTGGCAATAGACAAGAGACTTCGCTCCCTCTAGAGGCTGCTGCATCAGCCTGTTAGACGGAGTCCTTCCTGGTAGGATTAAACAATAAAGCCTTGCATTTGCAGTTTGGTAAGTCTGTCTCCTTGGTAGTCTCTGGGGGGTCTTGGGGCTTGGGCACAACAAAAAGTTCTTAAGTTTCAGAGTTCCCTATAGATTTCTTTGCCTCTATACTCTTCAGTGTATACTAATGAAAACAGCTGCCCAGAAAGTTTGGGGCCAGAGAGATGGCTCAGCAGTTAAAAGCACTGGTTGCTCTTCCAGAGAACCCTGGTCCAATTCCAAACACCCATATGGCAGCTCTCAATTATCTGTAACTCCAGTTCCAGAGGATTCTACATCCTCACACAGACATCCATGAAGGCAAAACACCAATGCATATGAAATAAAAGTAAGTAATTTTTTTAAAAAAGAAAGAAAAAGACATTAACAGACACAAATGATGACTGTACTATGATTACCACGGCACTCAATACTACTATTATAACAGCAAAAGAGAATTCTTTGTTTTGTCAACTGACCCACTAACCAACAGTATGACAAGACTTTTTTCTCCTGGCTTAGATGCAATCCAAGATGAGTTAGTATTTTAAGTCAAAAGTCATCGTACAAGCAATCTGTTTTTGCCATTTCAAAAAATGGGAAGTCTTACAAGGAATTAACATTTAGAAAAACATGGCAATCTTCCAATTATCATGAAAAGGTACTTCAAAAATCACTTACCATTCCTCCTCCGAAAGATCGGTCCCAGTTGCCAATCAAGGTGTTTGCAACCATGAGACAGATTGTGTCTGGATGTGCCCAACCAACTGCTTCAACAGCTATTGCTAGATGTGCCAAGGGCATCTTGTCATCCCTCACTCGAATCTAGTAAGAATAGACAATAACTGTTGTGGAATATTACTTTAACCATGGAAAGATGTGTTGCACTTGTTTAACGATGTAAAGATGTGTTTCTTTGCCTGCCTAAGGTGCCTGATTGGTCTAATAAAAAGCTGAACAGCCAATGGCTAGGCAATAGAGGAATAGGCAGGGCTGGAAAGCAGACAGTAAGAAGGAGGAGGAATCCAGGCTCAGGAGAGAGGAAGACACCGGGGACCAGCCCGGGAGTAGCCAGCCAGACTTGTGAAGGAAGCAGGAAGTAGGACACACAGGATGAAAGACCGGGAAAAGCCCCAAAGCAAAACGTAGACGAAGAGAACAGGTTCAGTTAAGTTATAAAAGCTGGTGGCACAAGCATAATAGAATGCCGAGCATGCATAACTAATGTCTCCATGTCTATCTCAGAGCTGGTTCGTGGCCCAGAGAAAGCCTGATGCAGATAACCAGTTAAGTAGGAACAGTCTCTATGGTATGTGTCCATTTCCAAGAAAAGAAAAGTGTGCAAGTCTTATCAACTGCGATGTTAAAATGTGCACCGTGATACTTGATTTTTAACTATCAGGTGGTCCAAATGATTTTCATGAATTACAGAATAGTTTTTTTCACCAGAACACCTCATTTGAAGTACCACCTGGTCAAAAGGAGTTGCCCTATTTCCCTGAAACCGCTTTTGTGGAACAGGAAGGAATGTAAGCAAATGAACCCATTTCCTTTCGTTTTCTGTGTTTCAGTTTACACTTTTTTCTACTAGAAAAAGTTTACATTTTATTTGTTGTGGATGTGTGTGGACATGGGCAGCATGTGGAGGTCAGAAAATAACCCATGGGAGTCCCAAGGACTGAACTCAGCTTGGCAGCCGGCACCTTTAGCCTGAGCTAACCCTCCAGCCGGAAACAGGTTTTATCCACCCGGAACTGGAGCTACAGTGGCTGTGGGCTACACAATGGGGGTGGTTGGAAGCCAAGTATGGCCCTCTGTAGGTGCAGCACGCACACCCAAACTGTTAGCTGTATCTTCAGCCTCTCCACACTCAGGCCAAATTCGAACCAAGAGCTCGCCTACCTCACTTCCAGTGAATTTGCAGGGAGGCAGAGCTGGTATTTCTCCTGTGTGTGCGCAGAGAGAGTCACCAAAGTGAAACTTTGCTAGCTCAAGCAGCTCATCGTGGCAAACACCTAAATCGAAGGGAGACATTTTCTTAAGTATCTAACAACAATCAAGGTAACCAACTTCCAGTAGGACGCTCCACCGTAAGTCTGACGTGGGATAACGTGAAGGACATCACACCGGGAGGACTCGCATTGTCTAAGCCGTTTAAAGTGAACAGCTTCCTTGGTTTGTGAGGCCTGGGTTGGAAAGCTTTCCCTGAGCAGCTGGTGTTCATCAATATACAAATGTGTTCAGAGATAAAGGTAAGAAAAATCCCTTTTTTTTTTTTAAACCTGCTAGAATTTTTTAAATTGGTCTCTGACTTTTCTAGGCATTATGACTTCATACAGGTTTCCAGGAATACAAATCTCTGGGCAAAGAGTACCAAGCCCATTCAAGAAAGTAAGAAATTGTAATTTTCACCTATATTCTATAGAAAATCATGCTAAGTCATAAAAGTTCAATGTGCATCCTAGTAAAAACTCAGTTTCATAAGTTACCTTTGATAGGGCTCAGTCTTTTTTTTTTTTTTTTTTTTTTTTTTTTTTTGGTTTTTACGAGATAGGATTTCTCTGTATTGTTTTGGAGGCTGTCGGTCCAGCCTGGCCTCGAACTCACAGAGATCCGCCTGCCTCTGCCTCCCGAGTGCTGGGATGAAAGGCGTGTGCCACCACCGCCCGGCAGGGCTCAGTCTTTAAGAGTCAGATACACAGCCAGGTGATGGTGGCACACGCCTTTCATCCCAGCACTTGGAGGTAGAGGAAGGAGGATCACTGAGTTCAAGGCCAGCCTGGGCTACACAGAGAAACCCTGTCTCACTAAAAAGAGAGAGAGAGTTTTAACTTTGGAACTAAAATCAACTCTAAACTTTGAAGACATTCCTATTTCCATGTGCTTATGACAGCAAGCAAAGCTCACAGGAATCCTTAAGTCTACTTTCCTTAGTATGCAAACAAGGGACAAATCACTCAGTCAGTAAAGTCCTACAACACAAGCACCAGCTTAAAATTCCAGACATCATGATAATGGATTTGAAACAGGCCTGGCTATGTAGTCCAGGCTGGCCTTGATCTTGTATTCTCTTGCCTCAGCTTCCAGAATGCTGGGGTTCTAAATATGTGCCACATACCTAGGCTTGTGCAAAGGCTTTAAAGATATTACCATAAGGTATAGTTCAGTGGAGGCTGGAGAGATACTCAGAGGTTAAGAGCAGTGGCTGCTCTTCCAGAGGTCCCAGAGTCACTTCCCAGTACCCACATGGTGGCTCACAAAACAGGGAGTCTGGTCCAGTGATCCACATTCTTCTACTACGCACATTTAAACACTTTCCTGACATGTCCCAAAATGTCCCAACAACCATGTCTAACTTGTTCAGAGAAACTTAACTAACCTCCAGCAGCAGCCAGCACGATTCTTGGTCCTTTATAATGTGTGGTTATATAATCCACTAAGTCCTTACGATTTATAGATCTGTGAACAGAATAAGTGTTAAGATTTCTGTATTTCATTTATAGACAGGATCTCATTCTGTAGCCTAGGCTGACTTAGAACTCACAGCAATCTTCCTGTTTCATAGGCCACCATGCCTAAAAGTAAGGCAAATTTATTATTTATTTGTTTGTTTGTCTATTTATTTATTTATTTTGGGCTTTTCGAGACAGGGTTTCTCTGTGGCTTTGGTGGCTGTCCTGGAACTAGCTCTTGTAGACCAGGCTGGTCTCGAACTCAGAGATTCGCCTGCCTCCCGAGTGTTGGGATTAAAGGCGTGCACTACCACCGCCTGGCAAAGTCAGGCAACTTTAAAAGGAAGTAAAAAGCATGTGTCCTCACGCACTACGTCTGAAATGAATAGAAATCACATGTGTCCTCACGCACTACGTCTGAAATGAATAGAAATCAAAGGCCTTCTAAGCAGTCACTGATAGAGGCTACAGGTGACAAAAAGCTCTGCCTCTTATATCAAGAGACATATGTATGTACCAACACTACTTCTTTATATCAGGAGAGACATATGTATGTACCAACACTACTTCTTTGTATCAGGAGGCATACATATGTACCAACACTACTTCTTTATATCAAGAGAGACACATGTATGTACCAACACTACTTCTTTGTATCAGGAGGCATACGTATGTACCAACACTACTTCTTTATATCAGGAGAGACATATGTATGTACCAACACTACTTCTTTGTATCAGGAGGCATACATATGTACCAACACTACTTCTTTATATCAAGAGAGACACATGTATGTACCAACACTACTTCTATATATCAGGAGACATACGAATGTACCAACACTACTTCTTTATATCAGGAGACATACGTATGTACCAACACTACTTCTTTATATCAGGAGACATACGAATGTACCAACACTACTTCTTTATATCAGGAGACATACGTATGTACCAACACTACTTCTTTATATCAGGAGAGACATACGTATGTACCAACACTACTTCTTTATATCAGGAGACATACGTATGTACCAACACTACTTCTTTATATCAGGAGACATACGTATGTACCAACACTACTTCTTTATATCAGGAGACATACGTATGTACCAACACTACTTCTTTATATCAGGAGACATACGTATGTACCAACACTACTTCTTTATATCAGGAGAGACACATGTATGTACCAACACTACTTCTTTATATCAGGAGAGACATACGTATGTACCAACACTACTTCTTTATATCAGGAGAGACATACGTATGTACCAACACTACTTCTTTAGGTCCCACGCTTCTTTGAGTATCATTACAGCACAGCCAGCCACAATTTTAAATTATCAGGGTGAAAATGACTGTCTGAAACACACATTTTTAGTTTGTATATGTCATAATTTTTGTGCAAAATTTTCAAATGAGGAATACACCTACTTGATATTTTCAGTTGGCCCCAGAATTGTCCGCCCAAGTGCAGTGTTCTGATAAGCTGTGGCATGAAGATAATCAAAAACAACTTCTTGCAAGTTGGTTTCAACTTCCTGCATCTCTCTAAGAATTACTCCACGTTCACGCTCAATCTCTGCTTCTCCCAATGTGCTGTTCTGAATTATGTCAGCGAGAATTTCTACAGCTAATTGAAATTAACAAAATGGAAGAAAAACAAGCATTCAAATCTCTTAAACCAGCACTGGAAACCAGGACACTATTATCATTCAATATGATTCATTAGAATATTTAACCTAAAAAAAAGAATATTTAATCTGATTAGCACATCACAATGAATGTAAAATAGAAACTCTGTGATACAGAAGACCTTGGGGAAAATCCTAAATGTTATCACTTTATACTAATTCTAGGTCAGACATCCACAGAAACCTGGCTGTTAATACAGATGGTTCTAAACAGAAAGTATGAAATAGTCTGGCATTGGTGCCGCACACCTTTAATCCCAGCACTTGGGAGGCAAAGGCAGGCAGATTTCTGTGAGTTTGAGGCCAGACTGATCTACAGAGCGAGTTCTAGAACAGCCAGGGCTACCCAAAGAAACCCTGATTTAACCCCTACCCAAAAAAAAAAGAGTATGAAACAGAAAATGATCTATTAGAGGAAAAGAGGTACACACAAAGACACATGGGCCCATGTGTATACTAACATTTGCATAGCAATGAAGCTGTAATGTAACAAAGAAAAAAATCACTATAACCCAAAATGAGTCCTCAGGAGTCACTTACAGAAGTGTGTTTGTCAAGTCCTCACTTGGTAAAAGCCAAAGGTGAACTAAAATTACAGAGTGGGAACATTACATCCCCAGAAAAGATACTCTTGTGGTAGAGCAATATACATTTTATAAGAGTAAAATAAACTTATAAGTTTTATTTGCTTTGCTCTATTGTAAATTTCTCTTTCTTGTTTCAGTTTACTTTAGGGGGACTTGTCTAAGCTTCAAACACCAAGAACAGGATAAAGCAGGCTGTTAGAGAAATCTCATACGGAGATGATTATAAAAAGGGGAAATTACCATTATACTATTTCATCTTTTATAATTACCAATAAAACCCAGATGGAAGCTGGGCTGGGTGGAGATGCTCAATAGCAACATGCTTGCCACAGCATCTGGTCCTGAGTTCAATCCCAGGCCCACATTTAAAAACCAGGAACACCTATAATCCAGTGCAGACACAGGAGGAAGCTGGGCAAGCCAGGTTCTGTGGGAGATCTGACTCAAAAAGTAATGTGGAGAGCAACTGATGTCAATCACTGGCTACACACAACACAAGAACACTTGCGCAGATACCGTAAGTGATATTGATAAAACTCTACAAGACTAAATTTGGAGTAATAAAACTGATTACAACTGTGCAACCATAAAGTTAATAATCTCATTAATTATCTTTGGAATGCTTCTTTGTTTTTAATTCTTCCACTGGAAAACGTTTCGTGTGATTAACATACTCAAAACACTATACAAAAGGCAAAACAATTATTTTATTTTTACAAAATAAAATTTTCTATTTTGCTAAAATAAATAATTATTATATACACAAACATGTGTTTACTCTTGCCCAGGACCAATAGTTTTATATCAAATGATGAGTAAAACTGATTGAAAACAGTGCACTTCACGGGTGAGACTCTGGAAGAATTGTTGTGACCAGGGGCAGTCCTTTTTAAGTCTTCAGTCTATGTTTGGAGGAGAAATAAGAGCAGACGCTCTATGGGTGCTAAATGATGTGTGAACCCTCATGGAAACTGAGTTTCTGCAGTATAGACAACAATACCTCTTGGCAAGTCTTTAGAGAAGGCTTTGGCATAGTACACGGTCTGTTCTCTGGAGGTATAGGCGTTAAGATGAGCGCCCATATTTTCAATCTCAAGTTCGAGGTCTAACTGGGACCTCTTTTTGGTGCCCTTGAAACAAAGGAGAAAACACCATTATGACCCTTCCCTACTATGCTTCATCTCTTCTAAACACAGTAGACAATAAATACATGGCAAAGGCCAATGCCAGTCATGCAAGGACAATTTTGTAAAGTATATTAGGCTTTAAAAAATATCCATTAAAAGATTGCTTTTGTATCCCTATATGCCAAGAGAGCACCCCTCTTTCAAAGTCAATTATCAGTGATTCTTTCAGAAACAATACTGGAAAAATAAAAAGGGCCCGTGGCATGTTACTTAAGTGGTTCTTGTCCTTCAGGTACAATCTTTGTGCTGACTCCTTCAGTACACCTCCAGTGAGGCCTCCCAACTCGCCTTGAAAGCCATATGCTCCAGAAAGTGAGCTGTTCCGTTGTTCCTCTCATTTTCATACCGGCTTCCAGCGTCAATCCACAGTCCAACCTTCAGGAGATCAAACAACAGTCAGGCAAACTCCCGGAGCTGGAGAGACGGCCACAGTTAATAACATTCACTGCTCTTACAAAGGACCTGGTCCCCAGCACCGAGTCTGGCCATTCACAGACATGTATAACTCCATCTCCACAGGGTATGGGAAACTGTGCGGCCTCCCTGGGCCTGCACTCACACGCACATACACAGACACATGTCCCTAAAAACAATAAAATGAATTTCCGTTTTTGGAGACAGAAGGTAATCTCATTCCTTTTTCTAGCAAATGTCTTCCAAATTGCCACTTACATTTTCTTTGACCACAACGAATTGCCAGTTCATTCCTATCAGCTGGCACTTGAAATTGTCAGCACCAGGCTACTAAAGAGCCGTGGTTGAGTCTGCTCCCTCCCAAACGAGCCGCCATAGGACTCAGTTGTTGCAGTCACTTACTGTGCACGTGGAGAGCCCGGAGTTCTCCGAAGCTACTCTGAGTCCATTTTCCAAACATGTTACTCGAGTCTCAGGAACATTCAGAACAACTTGTGGAGCAGCCTGTGTACTTCTTAGTCTGTCCCCTCCAAAATACAATGGCTGATGGGCATAGCGGGAGGAAGAGAGTAAGCATTCTCTCAAGTATTCAATGTCAGTCAGAAAACAAAAACCACCCTCAGACTCATCCCATAAAACACTTTCTTAGACTGGGCAAGGGTGTGTGTGTGTGTGTGTGTGTGTGTGTGTGTGTGTACACTTGAACATGGAGGGGGACACTCGGTGTCACAGAGCATAGAGAATGATGAGGTCCCAGTTCTGGATAAAAACAAAACCCTCAACTTCAGCTCCACCGGGATCTACCACTAGGTTAGGAACGGCTCTCTCAAGCAAGCAATACTACTGAAATCATGCCTTGTCCAGGAACACGAGCAGTTACTACCATTACCCAGAGAGAAACAGACCAGGTTCAAGTACACTCTCTTACAAGCGCATCCTATTCACTATCTAAAAAAGAAACTGAAGTGAAAATGAACATGTAAGATGAGACAGGGTGTCACAGCTCACAAAAGGAAATTGATAGAAGCCAGACAGGAGCAGACGCTCCAAGCACACTTTGGCAGCTGGCGTGACTGTAGACCTTGCAGCGGCTGTTTCTTTTCGTATTGAAATAAGAAGAACATGTTTGTTAAATCCTGACCCAAGAAGCTGAGGTCAGCTTAACCAGAAGGCATGCACGGTACTGTAGTAGTGTGCATAGGAACGGCCCCCATAGACTCAGATTTCAAAGCTCTGTCACCAGGGAGAGGAACTATTAGATGTGGCCTTGTTGGAGGAAATCTATCACTGGGGGTGGGCTTTGACGTTTCTAATGTTCAAGCCAGGCCCAGTGTGTTCCTCCTGTTGCCTAAAGATCCAGATGTAGAACTCTGGGCTCCCTCTCCGGCACCATGCCTGCCTGTACGCCGCCATGTCCCACCACGATGACAATCGAGTAACCCTCTGAACTGTAAGCCAGCCCAATTACTAGGTTTCCCTTTATAAGCGCTGCCATGGCCATGGGGTTTCATCACAACAGAAACCTAAGTAAGACAGGTACTTAAGGAACTTTGGCTAACCTGTGTTGTTCTGCTCTGTAACTCAAGGCTTTCTGATCAAACAGAAATACCTGTTAGTAAAAGTCCACATCCTGGGCCTGTGCTGGTGGCACACGCCTTTAATCCCAGCACTCGGGAGGCAGAGGCAGGCGGATCTCTGTGAGTTCGAGACCAGCCTGGTCTACACAGCGAGTTCCAGGACAGCCAGGGCGGTTACACAGAGAAACCGTGTCTCGGGGAAAAAAAGTTCCTATCCTGTCATGCTTGCTAACAGACAACACAGCCGCCAACAAGAGGTACCAAACTCTGGGTTCTGCCTAAACAAACAAAACCCCTGCTCACTCGGCTCCGGCGCCTCTTTAGACTTCAGACCTTTAGTCACAGGAGTGCAGCCCCAGGCTCGGTCTGCGAGCCTCAATAAATACTTCAGATTTATAACAGCTCGCTCCGGTCTTCTCTCGGTGAGAGCAGCCTGACTACACCAACGCTGGTACAACACTGGTAAATCATGCGCACGCACACGCGTACACGCTCGCACACGCACACACACACCACGCACACACACCACGCTCACACGTATACACATGCGCACACACGCGCACACACTCGCACAGGCATGCACACGCACACCACGCAGACACGCTCACACGTATACACATGCGCACACACGCACACACACACACCACACACTCCCATATCCCTTTGGAGCAAGGAAGCTTTGAAATAAACAACGCAGAGATAAAACTTTGCTCAACTGAGGGTGAAGCTTGTGTTAAGCAGCAGAACAAGTGCCGCTTCTCAGCTCCAGTCTGCAAACACTAACTCCTCCTTCAGACCCGCCGCCGGGCCCCGCCCCCTCTCCTTCTGCGGCGCCGCCCTCCTGCGTCCCGGCAGCCGGGCCCCGCCCCTTTCGGCGGCCCGCAGCCTGGCCCCGCCCTCTCCTGCGGTCCGGCAGCCGGTCCCCGCCCCCTTCGGCGGCCCCGCCCTCCTGCGGCCCGGCCGCCAGGGCCCTGCCGTCCGGATCTCGAGCCCCGCCGACCGCTCGCCACGACCCGAGGCCTCAGAGCGCAGCGGGATCGGGCCGAGCGAGGCTCACCTGCGTACCGGCGCCGCGAACTGGGAGCCTGCGGGTAAATCCCCATAGCTGTCGTCGGGCCACCGGCAACAGCGTCCGGGACGCTGCGGCGGCCGCCATAGGAGCTGTGGACGAGGTGGGGAAATACTTCCGGGTCGTGACTCCAGGCCCCGGGGCGGGCTGGCCCCACCGTGTGGCAGCGAGGGGAACTGCAGCCTCCGAAGCTGCGGTGGAAGGAGTCTGCCCACCCCATCGCTGCACCCCATCGTCAGCCCCGGGAGGGACGGACACGGGCCGGGAGAGGCTGTGATCGCGTCGGCCCTCCTTGCTGCCCCATCGTTTATAGCCTTGCCCGGCCCGTCCACAGAAATACCTCCCGAAAGTGGACACTTGACCAACGTGATCGTACGTTCTGTTAGCAAGACTTAATGTTGTGGGCCTCCAGGTGTCAGTGCACACGCCCTAGCCCTCTCTAGACGTTCTTGGCTTCTTCCTGTTGCTGGGCGCCTCCTGACCCACAGACACTTTAATGAAACAGAATCAGCAAACACCTTTTTTTCTTTCCTTTTTTTTTATTTAAGTTAGAAACAAGCTTGCTTCACATGTCAATCCCAGCTCCCTTCTCCCCTACCCCCCACCAAATCCCCCTCCACCCAATCCCCACTCCACTCCCCAGGGACGGTGAGGCCGTCCATAGTGGATCTCCAGAGTCTGTCATTTCATCCAGAGCAGGGCCTAGGCCCTCCCACCAGAGTCCCGGCTGAGAGAGCATCCCTCACTGTGGGATGGACACTCAAAGTCTATTTGTATGCCAGGGATAAATACTACCCAAGGCCCCATAGATTACCTAGGCCTCCTCACTGACACCCACATTCAGGGGGTCTGGGTCAGTCCCATGCTTTCCACACAGCCATCAATCTGGAGTCCAAGAGCTCCCCCTTGTTCAGGTCAGCTGTTTCTGTGGGTTAAACCAGCCCAGTCTTAACTCCTTTGCCCATCAGTCCTCCGTCTCTGTCACTGGGTTCCAGGAGTTACCAAACGCTTTTTAAGTGACAATTTTAATTTAATTATCGTGGAAAGGGGGTGAGTGCATGCCTCCCTGTCTTCCCCGCCCACAGCACACTCTTCTCTTAACTACCCCTACCGACAGCCATGCAAATCCCCGTGGCCCCTCAACGTCAGGTGCAGCCTGCCCCTGCTAGCGCCTTCCTCTTCACGATGGATGCGTGTCCTCTGGAGATGCAGGTTATTTCATCACAGTGACAGCAAAGGGAACTAGAACAGAGGGAATGTCAGCATAGCTTGGATTTGCATTTCTCAGGGTAGTGAACATTTTTTATTCAAACATTTACTGGTCATGTGGACTTTCAATTTAAATTCTTTTTCAATTTCTGTGTGTATGTGGTATGCGTGTTTTTGGTGGGAGGATACAGGTGTTCGTGTGTGTGTGTGTGTGTGTGTGTGTGTGTGTGTGTATCACATGCTTATGTGTGGAAGCCTAAAGGTGGGTCTCCCTAAGTTCAAGGCCAGCCTGGCCTACAGCTGGGGCACAGAGAGAAACCATGTCTCAAATAAATAAGTAAATCGAAGAAAGAAAAAATTCAGCATGAATGTATGTAGCAGTGGGCTTTTCTTTGCTGAAGGGCCAACTGCAGTGACCTTGTTGCTTGTTCTAGATCGGCTCATATTGTTTACATCCCTCCCCATTTACTACTGGCAGGTCATCCATGTCAAGGATTTGTCTGGTTTTAGTTTTCTAAATTTTGAAGCACAAGTTTTCAAACTGTGGATTTCATCAGAGTTTGCTGTAATGTCTCCCTGCTCACCTCCGACTTCATCACTTTGTGTTCAGTTTCCAGGTGTTTCTCTTTCCATGGCGGCTGCCTGCTTCCACTGCAGGCTGCTGAGCTGCCGAGAGTTCTTTTGGTTTGACTTGATTTGTTAGGCTGCCCTCCAGGTCTGTTTGAAACGACGTGCGTTTACTTATTTTGTATGTGGAGGCATGAATGTGTCACATGTGCCCCGCCTGCATGAGGGGGTCAGACAAGTCGTTTCTCACCTTCTACCAGGTCAGTCCTGGGGCTTGAACGAGTCGTCACACTTGGCAGCAAGTGCCTTCACCCACTCCGGCCATTCCCATAGCCAGATCTCTGTGAGTTCGAGACCAGCCTAGTCCACAAAGTGAGTTCCAGAACAGCTAGGGCTGTTACACAGAGAACCTGAACAAAAATTTTAACTAACTAAAAGAAAAGAAGAGGCTGCATTTCCCCCAAATCACTTTTATGGGAAGGGAAAAGGAAAGGAATACTGACTCCTCCCTTTTGCTCACTATATATTACAGTCACATTTTAAATGTGGTGAGCGCTTGTACCCAGGCACTCACACACACTGATCACAGAGCTTCTTAGATAAATTGAAGTAGGAAGAGAATTTGAGAGTTGCTCAGCCGACCATAACTAATAAGGTGATAAAGGGGACGACAAATGAATTAGAGCAAAAATCTTTGCATGTCTCACAAAGCCTTCATGGTCCAGCCTTTCCTCAACGGCCCCCTGGTGACGAGGGAACAGTTAGTGTGTGTGAGATGAGCAATGGGACAGTGTGAGCAGCTCCTTCCCTCTGGCTGTGACGCTGGCAGCCGTTGTGCAGTCTGGGCTCAGTGATGTACTCTGGCTTTCTTCCCTTTGTCTCCTGTGTCCTAATGGAGCTTGTACCAAGGAGGCAGCGGGCCATGAGTTGAATGTATAATCACCATGGGAACTGAGGCTACAGTCAGCCCCTGGGAATGTGTCCCGGGGGCCCCGCATGCCACTTGTCAAAGTACGTCTTGCATACTCTTCTGTGTTCTGAGTGATTATGTTCCAGTGAGTGTGTATGTGTTCCTCAGTCTGTACAGGCGGTTTCTCCTTGAGGGTAACAGTTTACACAGACACCATCTCATTCTCCATGCTTCTGCTCTGTACCTATTATCTAGGAGTCAACCGCAGTAAAGTACAACGGAAGAGAAAAAACAGTATCTGAACAACTCCAACCCATCTCAAGCAAGCCACAAAATGTCCTCCACCAGAACCCTGACACTAGTAAAATCTGATTTCTGTCCTCATCTTCATTTCCCTCTGGTGTAAATGACCCCAGATTGTAAGGCTCTCCATGTGCCCGGTGGTCTTTCTGGGATACATGGATTGAGTTGTTTCTCATTTTGTTGTCCAGTTGGTATTCCCTGGTTTTTACTGGACTGTCATGTACTGAGAGCCTCTGCATCTAGCTTCCAGTCGCTCCACACACTCTCCAGGAGAGTCAGCAAGACGCTCGATAAGATGCGGGCCAGAGCTTGGTGCTGAAGTTAGAGTGTGTGCATTAGCCATGACGGAGTTAGAACGTGTGCATTAGCCATGAAGGAGTTAGAACGTGTGCATTAGCCATGAAGGAGTTAGAACGTGTGCAGTAGCCATGAAGGAGTTAGAACGTGTGCAGTAGCCATGACGGAGTTAGAACGTGTGCAGTAGCCATGACGGAGTTAGAATGTGTGCATTAGCCATGACGGAGTTAGAACGTGTGCATTAGCCATGACAGAGTTTGAATGTGTGTAGCAGCCATGAAGGAGTTAGAATGTGTGCAGTAGCCATGAAGGAGTTAGAACGTGTGCATTAGCCATGACGGAGTTAGAACGTGTGCATTAGCCATGACAGAGTTTGAATGTGTGTAGCAGCCATGAAGGAGTTAGAATGTGTGTAGCAGCCATGAAGAGACTCTATACGTTGTACGTGGAGTTTTCCTGTGTCACAGCAGTCACTCCCAAATAACCACAAGAGACTTAATTATAAATGCTAGACCGATAGCTTGGGCTTGTCTCCAGCAAGCTCTTAAAACTTAAATAAACCCGTTTCTCTTCTCCTGTGAGTTAACCCGAGGCTCATTTACCTCATCTGTGTACCTGCCTGTTGCTTCTTCTGCGTCTGACTTGAGACACCTCAGGCTCTGCCCCTCCTCCTCCCAGCATTCTCTCTGCCCCACAAACCCTGCCTAGCTCTTGGACAATCAGCTTCTAACCGTGAAGCACATTCTCACAGTTACAAAAGGGCTATTCCACAGCAGTACGCTAAGAACTTGGTCCCAGAGTGGTACTGATGGTTTTGTTGTGGACAACTGGGAAGTGGGATCTAGACACGAACTAGAAGGGCCCCCAGTGAAGGCTGTGGGGCCATCTTCTCTTTGCTCCCTGTCTCTGCCATGATGTGCCACCATCACACACTCAGACCACAGGAACACCCAATTTTGGACTTCAATCTCTACAACAGTTGAAACAAACCTCTTTATTTCCTAAATAGCTTGTTTGGTTTTTGTTTTTTATTATAGTGATGCAAAGCTTGCCGCGCCCGCTGCACAACCTGTGTCCAAGAATGTACGGAGGGTGTCAGGGATTGACAACACCGAATGCTCCTCAAGAAGGCTCTCCTTTATTCCTACTCTGGCTGGTTATTATATACCCTGACACCAGAGGTGGAGGTGGGTGGGTCTGAAGAGGTGGTTAGTCTTTGGAAAAGGTCGAGGACAGGGCGGTTCCCATGGGCGAGCCCTTTTCAGGAACTTATTGCCCCGGGCATTATATTGTTTTTAGTAAACATGTTTTTAGTAAACATTGTCTTACAGCTGCCTGGTCCCAGGCTAATGGGGAAGTGGGTCTCTGCTCAAGGTCTGGTGTCCCCACAAAGCTGACTTTGCACACAGAGTTAAGATCTAGCTTCTGAAGATGCTGGAGTATCACAGTGTAAAGTTTTCAAAACTTCCAGGTCACTTTGTTCCTGGGAAGTGACTTTTTTTTTTTTTTGGTTTTTTGAGGCAGGGTTTCTCTGTATTGTTTTGGAGGCTTTCCTAGAACTCGCTTTGTAGACCAGGATGGCCTCGAACTCACAGAGATCCGCCTGCCTCTGCCTCCCGAGTGCTGGGATTAAAGGCGTGCGCCACCAACGCCCGGCGGGAAGCGACTCTTACAGAGGGGCTGGAAACATGCCTTAGCAATTAACAGAGCACGCTGACCCTGTAGAGGACCAGCGTTCTCTCCCAGCGCCCATGGTGTCCAGGTCACAGCTGCTTGTCGGGTGGCTTGCCCCGCTTGGACTCCAGCTCCAAGGAGTCCCCACTTCTGAGCTCC